TGTAGAGACAGTGACTGACACACAGGACTATTTTCTAACTGGGATAGAGCTTCTGAAAACTTTGTGTTATGTTCCCTGGAATAAAAATTACAATATTACAAAAGACTCTCATGGTTACTTTTGTTATACCTCTGTTTATTATGCAAATGATGGTACTAAACAAATGCTAACATACTTCGTTCAAGTGATCTGCTTGGTTATATTCAACAGTTGGCTGTATTATCTTTACTATAACCACAGGAAATAACTGGATGCATCATTAGCAGAGTTACAACTAATCCTGGACTGCTTTGATGGTCTAATGGTTGGCATACTAGTAGTATTGATAAGGTAAAAGTTCTAAACCCATCTTCACTACTTTTTAAATAAGTAAACATTTACCATTGTGTAGAGTCTTGTATTTCAACTGCAGTAATATGCATTCATTCAAATCCAAATAACAAAAGTAGTAGGATTGTTTCATAGAAATTACCATTTTTATTTTGAAATTTTATTATTATAAGCAAAAAAATAATACCAGGACAATAAAACTACAGATAAAATAGAGGAACCAATTCTTCCTATTTCCTTCTGATACCTCACTTAATTTAATAATTCAGAAAGAAATTTTTGTAGTCATATGAGAAGAAAATAGAAAATATGACATTACATTGTTATACTTACTTCAGTCCACGTAATGTCCTGTCTAAGCAGATCTGATTTGAACAATACTTGATGTATGCATTAAAATTGTTACTAGCATGCTTGTAGACAACCTCACAAATGCCATGTAAGAGGATGTTATCCTGCCAACACTCTTCGAGCTCAGCCAGGAAGTGCTCCGAGCAAGTTTTGACTAAAATAATCATCAAGACTCATAATTAAAATTATCCCACTGGACAAAGTTATATGTAGTGCAGCTAATCATATCATATCACATTAAATTTAAAGTTCACACATTTTCTGAAAGAACAAGCAGCTTACCAGAGCTAAAATTTTATCTCCTGAAACTGTTTGTACTATTGAATACAGAGCCAAAAGTAATTATCATGATTTCAGTTTTAACTCAAAAATGGTTTTACTTCAGAAGATTAGTACAAATTCTGTAATATTAAGAAAAAATGGTGGACAATCAGGATTTTTAAGCAAGACATAAAAAGTGAAGAATTGTGACAAACCTAATTAATGTAATGCATTATATCAAGAGAGAATACCTGGAATGAGATTAGAGAATAAGGTCCTTCTATCATTTCTAGACAAGACAGATTCATCACACAGTTCAAGACTAGATATGAAATGTTTCTCAAGAACATTTAAAGAATTTATGTATGATGCTTCTGAAGTGATAATTTCAAATTTGGCCTCTTGTAACTTCTTCTGATGAGTGCTGATTGTACCTAAAAAAATTAACATAATCACAATCACTGATTGAACAGCAGTAATATACTCTTCAAAACACTTCAAATTACAAACCAATTTGTTTAAAAGTATATTTTCTCTTGAATTTTAAGTATTAATCTTGAAACTATCTGATTTGCAAACATAAAAGTCTCTGGAAGGATAATAAACTTCATTAGAAAATAACGTTTTCCAGAAAAACATACCTCTGACAAAACTTTTCATGTATGCCAATATCGGACATAACAGTGGGGCACAAATTTTGAAAAGAAAAAACACTTAATTCTTGAATATCCTCCTCATATTTTCTCCCAAGTCTCTTATTTCCTATCATACAACTTTATTCATACTGACCATGAATAATTCAGTTTGAATTTACATTTTATGCCCATCACAATTCAATCATTTTTAACTAATTCTTACAGCAGACCCAAACATTCAATATAACTAATACCAAAAGCCTATGATAAACACAACCCAACCCATTTCCATCCACTAGAAATCCTCACAAGTTATACATCAGCTCATATACATTTAGCAGCATTTATTCTTACTAAGAACACGACTGCTGACAACTTCAGGAATTTCACACCAAAGAGTACGGTGTTGGCCTTCACGAGGTTGAATCAGCTCCATGGCAGTAGGACGAGAAGGTTTCAATTTTTGAGAACCATCTCCAATTTCTTCATAACCATCCGAGTCCAGTTCACTTCGCATATATCTCTGAAAGAAAAAGTCAGTAAATCTTTTTCCAGTGAGCAAAGATTTCAGATCAATGAAATACAATAATAAGTACATCGAGCACTGGTAACTTCAATATCAAGTTGTGTTGAAGCTGAGGCAATCAAACTACATAAATACACATAAACACCTACAGCATGTATTTAAGCACCCATGCTAGAACACTACTGTACCATATGACGTAAAGGCATTAATCAACATTATTTTATTCTTACTTGGCAATTGTACTCATGGTTGTTATTTAGGGAAAACATATCTAATCAGTTAATTTCAAACTCTTAATTTTCAGCTGTGCATGTTGTATTATGTCAAATGGGAAACTGGATGAACTGGAAAGGTGCAAGGAAGTAGTCATGTTCCAGAATTTGCCTGGGGTGCCTTTGAAAAATCAAGAAAAACCTCAGCAAGGGCAGGCGGCTTCCATACCAACAATAAAACTCATGATCTTATGAATACAAAGAAGTGGTGTTAACCACTCAATCTCAGTGTTTGGTGTCTGCAACTTCTGACTCCTTTCATGAATTCTTATGCAGTTGACTGTTGCTCAAAATAAGAGAGATCACTTTCTATACTGGTCAGGTAGTGCAGAATATATCTGCACTCTCAGTTCAATGCATAAATTGTGTTTATCAGCTGTTATTTATAATTTAGAGAAGTAACAATCAAGAGTTTATGCCTTGTTACTCTACAGTGGCCCTTGGGTTTTAGCTGCTTGGTCAAGTCTACTTGGAGACAAATACCATTCAAGGGATGTATAGGCCAGTTTTCTGGCAGGTTAGAATATTGAGATTAAAGCATGGTTACTAGCAAGCATGAAAATATAAATTCTTTGTTTATGGCCTATTCAAAGAATAAGTGCAGTGAAACATTTTAAACAGAACTAATTCAGTTGCATCCAAAGGTCTTGTAAAACATCACTTAAAAATCCTACACGTTTTCCAACAGATCTGTAGCCACTTTACCACTGTCTCTTTGATTTTACAAACTTTTCTTAGCTTCTTTCCCTTTCTTTCCCCTTTTGTACCAACCAAGGACCATCATAAAGTAACACAACAGTAAAAGTGGTAGCCAATTATGCCATAACATTTAAAACTAATGTGCTGCCTGCTGGCAATGAAATAGATATGTTGTGAAATTTCAGAAGATATTTTTTATTTTTTATCACAAATTTTTTAAATGAAGAAATACCTCTACTACAGCTGCAGTGTAGAACTGATACAAAGGTTCATCAGCGAAACGCCTTTCAGCAACTCCACTGTTCTCTGGACTGCCTGCTGTCAGTGGTGAATCTCCTCCACTCAAATCAGTGTGCTGGCTTCGTGTATCTGCACCATATATAAACAAGTGTCTGACAGGGGTGAAAGATATAAAGGACATATTGTGTATCTGTACTTAACTGTATCTTTTAACTGCTACACTTTCATTTTGATTTCCACTACTTCAGAAATGGGAAATGTCTACAGAAAAACATGCCTGTTTAAAATGTTACTGCATACCCAAAATAACTTATGAAATAGAAACTCAGACATGGAGTGAAGCAGATATTAGTAGATCCATGGCAGTAAAGATGAGATTTCTAAGAAGTCGAGAAGGACAAAAGCAGAAAATATAGAGAACAAAATTAAACAAAAAAATCTGAGGTTGGACACTGAAAGAAAAGCAGAAGAGCTAGAGCAAGAAATAAAAAAAGATAGAACGAGGATGAACGCATTGGAAGAAAAATTAACAAATAACAGATTTTGATATGGACATGTTTTAAAAATGAATAAAGACAGAATTCCAAAGAAAGTTTTGTACATGAAATTAAAAGGAAAACAACTAAGATCAAGTTTATTATAATAGGTTATAAAAGATGTCACAGAGAAGGAAGGTTAAGGGAAGAAATTGGGGAGAAGCTGAGAAAAGACAGACAAAGATGGAGAAATGGTCATCATAAGTGGAAATGTTTGAGGAAAAAAAGAATTACAAAACTAATTTTCACTGATAATTCCAAGTGAAATTTTGAGGTTTCAAGTTCAATAATACTCGAAAACAATTCAGCATGAGAACTGTGAATCACATCTACAGGCCCTTACCTTGCTCAGACAGAGAACTGTCATTGGGACTTGAAGTACCCATGTCCCAGAGTCCAACTTCAGCATACCATGAATTTGATATGGGTCGGTCTTGCTTTCTTGCATTATTCTTTGGTACATCTATGAATTAAAAGACAGATAGTTTTCCAAACACATCACTCAAAAGAACACAATACACATGTAACAAGAATGGCACAAAGCTAACATAAACACCATAAAATTTATAAAGAATTCAAGAGTAAGATAATACTTTTGCAGTCAATGTTAATCTTGTGTGAAGAACAACTCCAAATAATGACTGCTGAGTTCCTTGAATGATGATGAATGGAATTCATTGCATCTGGGACACCCAAACATACAAACCACAAAAGTTTCATTCAAGCGTGGATACAACAGAGAAAAGTATGCATAACAAAATGCTGTGGACCCACATACCGTGAAAATTAAATATAGAATTTCTTTACACAGAGCTCTTCTTTGGTTATTTTCTTGATGATTCAAGCCATATGATATACACATCTACATGCTGTGGGGCAAGGAAGATAACCAAAGGTGAGAATGTTAGATTTCAAAGCAGGAGGCCATCCCGTGTGAAGATCCTCAAATTTATATGTAAAGTCTTAGGAAAACCATAAATAGTTAACACTGGAATCAGCCAATTGTCAAATACAATCTACAGCATTATTGCTGCACCAACTTACTTGGTCACAAGGATTTAGATTATACAAATATTTTGGCCTATATCTCAGGCCCTTCATTATTTTTCAAATCTACATGTTTCACTGAATTATTAATAAAATATAAGAATGGTAAACATACCCATAATGCCCATATTCTGAACTTCTGTCTGATCAAACAGCCCACATTCAGCATACCAGGACGTGTTACTTGAATTTCTTTTCTCTTTACGGAGAGGTTTCTTTGGATTATCTGAACAAACGGAGAACACAGCTTACACTTTCTGATGTACAGAAGATGGAACACAATGATAAAGCTTCGTATTCAAATATTACTCGTATAACAGACTAAAATTTCTGGAATAAGAAAAAATTAGGGAACGTTTAAGCACTTGGAACTGATGTTCATCACATGGTGGGGGGCACCTGCCTACTTTACCTATTTGATAAGGTGGTTCTGCATGAACAATTTGTATACTGTTGGGAAGGCAGATTCAGATTAACAGAATCAAGGTAATTTATACAATCATTTGCATATGGTAATTTAATTCTATTCAATAAAATTTACCTGAGGAGCCTGAACTGTGGGGAGGAGGAGGAAGAGGAGGAGGAGAGTTAGGACGGACGCTGCCACTGTTCCTTCTTTCAGGAGCTGAAATTGGCCTCTGCTTGTTGCTATTACTAAAATTGGTGGGCATTTTCTGTAGTCCCTCTGAGTTGCAGTTTGCATCCATTCCACTATCATATACAATCGTCTTGCTGCTGCCCAAACTTGAAGGACTAGTTGGTGTACCACCACTTTCTGAGCAAATGTCAGTAGTATCAGTAGATCCCCTGGTACATAAAAAACATGACACAGTGAGCTAGGTATAGCAACATCTACAAGCGTAAAAAATATTTCATCAGATTTGTTACAATTCAGTTAATTATCACTACTGGAAACAAAACAGAACAGTCTTCATCATTAATATACTAAACAGTGAACATTCACCCAAAGAGACAATGAAGCATTATTTCTGAAACATGTATCAAGCATATAAATATTATTATTTTTTAAATTGCTGGCTAAAAATTCAGCGCTAAGTGTCTTCTTATGACAGCTAAACCACAAAATATCTCATTATGTGTGCCAAACCATAAAACAAGTTATTACTACAATCAAACTTACACATTCATATTTCCCTCAGTGCTGCCCATGTCAGCATCCAGTGCCTGTGTGAGGTAGAAAGTGGCTGTTTCCTTCTTTGGGCCACTAAATGGAGGCGCAGGTGATGTTTGATCTGAAGCAGATATACTTCTCTTGAATTTGCGTAATGACCAATATTTGCGCCCTGCTAGGTTTCCTGAAGATAAAGTCTTCTCTGAGATTCGAGGAGGAAGGACTGGTGGTGATGGATGAGATGGAGAAGGACGTTGTGGTCTTTGAGTGGTGGGCAGTGGTGGTCGAGCTGTAAAGGAAAATGTGAAAGGGAAAAACATTAATTTTTTCTCTTAATGGTCTCCTATAAAAGATTTTGAAACTAAACTGAACACTGCATGCATGTATTTCTACTAAAAAGGAATCCACAACACTAAACTTGAGCTACATCAAATTATTTCTTGTTTTAGCATCCAGTAAATTTGCCATTACTATTCAAATATACCGAGTTAAAAGTATTAACTTCCACTCCCTGCCAAACACTCTAATGTATATTAGCAGGCATGCAATCAAAATTAAAAATCAAATTGTAGTGACTCTGCAAGCAAGAGACAGAGAGAAAGACATTGATAGATAAACTGATATTTGCAAAACTTAGAAAATGAAAAATGTTTATAACAAATCACAAACAGATCATACACGTTAATGTCGCTGTAATGTAATAAACCTCTGGGTTCCATGTCAGCAACATAAGACTTGCATAGAAACAGTGATGGTATAATAGCACGCAGTAAATTACTTCTGGGATTAACATTCTTCTATCCTACAGTGACATTACTTTTCTTCATTGTTTCAAATGTTACGGTGGGATGTAACAGAAGAAACTGTTTTTGGATGCAAGTTGTAGCAGATTGTGCTAAAGACATAACAGACAAAAGTTCCCACCCAAAACATGCAAATGCTTACAAGCAATATTTATTATTAACCACTGATTTCAAGAACCAGCACATCACCTACCAGGCCTTTCAACAGCTGCTGGACTGCTGGCAAAATGAGACAAAAAGCTACAAGCCAGTGGGTTAAAAGAATGACAAAATTGTATGAAAAAACTATTTTAGAATTCTGCAAATAAACATAATTGTTAAAATTCTCATCTTACCATAAAAATTAAAAGCTATAAATCAAGCAAAGATTTTTCACAAAGTACCATTTAGTCTGTCGAGTTAAAAAAATATATTAAGCTAATGTAGATATTCTATATTTCATATAAAAATTAAATGTAAACACTTTAATTATGCTGGTACCATTATGCTGAGCTTCTGGTGCCCTGCTGTTACTTCGTTTAGTCCTGATCTTGCGAAGACTCTTGCCCAGTTTGAGCATCTTTTTCCCTGCAGCCTCAGCAATCTTACTGATGGCATAGATGTTCTGTCCAGGTGGTGGTTCTGGTAGTCGGCCATTACCAATGTCAAAGCCTGCCTTTAAACAAAAATAACTGTCTTTGAAATAACAATATACATGCCAGAACAGGTATTATTACGACAATCTCAGATGCATACATTATATTAAAACTATTTTTATAAAGCTTATATAATTACTAATGCCGGTTCAATTTTACAAATACTTTTAGGCAACACATTTTCATGTCCTGCAACTGTAAATGTTCACTGCAATAGTCTCTAGTCATTGTTTTAATCAGAAATCAGATTTTTGTTCATAACCATTTTTTATGTTTGCTGTACTATATACAAACTAAATATTTCTCCAGTTTTTGTATCAGAGATCCACAATTTTCTTCTCTTGCATATTTCTTATGCACAGAAGCATTTTTGGATTTTGACAGTCTCTGTCTATGAAGCATCATGAATGAATCAGATATTGCCTTGAGAGGAATGACCTTAAGATTAAGATGATGTCTTCATCCAAAATGTCCATATTCTACCTATAAATCCACATTGCATTATAACCCATCAACAAAAAACAGTTTAGCTCTACCAAGTGATAATTCACCTTATTTTGCAATCATCAGTGCCCCACAAACTTATGTATTATTTAATGGAAAATTTACATAGTTTACATCAAGATATGAAAATAAAAATGGCAAGTTCTTCTCTGTACCTGATGCAAAGGTTTGATGTATGTTTCGTCAGACGCATCAGAGTCAAAGGAATCAAAATCATCATAAGGCACCTCATTATTCTTACTGTTCCCTACAACTTCATATAGCATCTCATAATGGTGATCTGCGTCTGAGTCAGAACTATGTTCTCCTCCTACAAAAATGGAGAGATACAATAATCAATACAAATATAACAAATATGTGGTACATAAAATGTACAATGCAGAATTATACTTCCAATATGTTGCCAGTAATTAGCACTGTCCTAAGTCAATGTTCTTATTATATACATATATCACAACTGGCTCATTCCTAAACTAACCTTCCTTTTCCAGGAAAAAGGTCATCTCCTGGCTTTCATGAGCATCTCCAATGTAGAGAATTGCTCGTAAAGAGACCAAACCTGTGGACCCACTGGAACGTTGATGGGGACTGACTGAAGGCTTGTGGGCATGGGGATCAGGGGCTCCCAAGTATAATACAGAGGAAGAAGACACGTAGACTGTAATGAATTAGCCAATGTGAACACCAACACAATATGAATGATAAAACACGATACTGTAGTGTAGTACTGATACCTGGTTATACCACATAAATCTTCTTAACTTCATATGTGGAAATGTTTTGCCAACATCAGAACAAAATTATCACTTAATCATCTTCTTAACAACTGGAAAGTCTTAATAATTTGTCCTTTCCATGTAAAGTTTATTATTTAATTAGGTGCCACTTTTGAATATGATTTGAAAAGATTATTGCTTTATCAACTGCTGAAGAAACCAGGCATCACACAATACTTCAGAGAAGAATATTAGTACTTCAAAGATGAACATCAGTATCTCTAAGCAAAAAACACCAAAAAGATATATGTATATGTTCATGCATGTTTATGTTACTTCAAAACATATTCCAACAGTTAAATAAATGAAACTTGACAGCCTCAAAGAATAAACGTTTATGAATACGATGCTTTAAATTAAACCTGAGATAAATCATAATAAAAAAAATCCAATAACAAACCTTGGTCTGCACAATGAGGTCTGGGGCGACGATAATATGACTCAACGGAAGTTCGAGAAGCATTAATAAACGTATGTCTGCTACGAAAACTACTAGTCATTTCTACATTTTCTTCTCAACTAATCCGGTTGTGCAACAAACAGCCATTTACAGACCTTGTATGACCAAATACTTCTCGCAATTAGCAGCAGAAATTTTAGGCGCAGCCCATGGATGGCCAATTATGTAACGAACATCGGGATAGACTTTAACTTAGAAATGTTCAGAAGACCTGTGGTACGCAAGATGTAAAAGATCGCTTCTCTTCTTTTCAAGGCTACAATATTTTCAGAGCATGACATTGAGTGATATCATCACAACCCACCCAACAATGTCTACGCCGCCGCCTCGCACTTTCAATCACCGTTGAACACAACACAGTTAATATCATCACGATTTTCACAAAACACATCAATCTATTAAATTGTGAAGAAAATCAGCAGCGTTATATGTGATTTACTAACAGCTGACACAAGCAAAAACGAAGACACTTAACAACTTTCACCTATTCTCTCATTCAACTAGTCAGTATTGAGGCCAGCTGTTGGGTTACCATGACGACACGGTACTTGCTCGTAGTTCGAGATATTCGTTCACAATCGATTATAGCAGATCCGACTCGTGAGCGCTGTAATATGGCGCCAAACCTTTAAAACGTAATTAGTTTGGACGAAGAGCAAAAATTCACAAAATATCAATATCTATTATGCCCTGTCATCTTCATTTACTTCCTTTGCCTACTAACATAATTTTACGAAAGGGTGGAAGGGGTAAATTTCTTATACTGTCGGAAAAATTATATTCCTTTCTTATCCACCGCAAAAGTAATCTAGTTTTCGTATCCCTTACATCCTTTACTCATTCACAACTCAGAAGAAATATATGCGGGAAACAAACACAGTTTTATATAGAACTACAGTCTGATTTCCTTCAAGAGACATTTGATACTGAACACAATGGTAGCGCATTTTAATTAGAAATTAAAAAATAGGGTTTCCTTCATTTTCAATGAGTTGCCAGTGGTATCTTTAATCATAAGCCTGTAGGTTTCTATGTTCGTAAAAGTTTATCTTTATAGGAGTAGTCAACTCGTCAGTTAGGCCTACTGTTACCAGTTACATTTCCATGCTCAGTGACTAACTCACATTGAATTACGTTACTAGAGTAAAAAGCTCTTGGGTAATTCGGTCGAATGAAAACATAATGAACATGTTGATGGACCTAATCTCTTGTCACAGATGATGGTGAAATATTAAGTTATCCCTGCACCTGAGCACCATGCCATTAAGAAGTACTGAGGACTGGCTGTAAAATTTCACGTTCCGACCACTTTACCCCATACTCATAGACCAGGATGCTGGGCGGGCACGAAAAGACGCAGAGGAAAATAAAAAAACCTACTTCTGTCATCGTGAATCGAAACCCCTGTCACCCATTTGTAGTCATTCACTTTAATGACTGGAAGAGAAAATCCTTTTCTCCCCGATAAACTATGTACAGCTGACATATTTTGCGTTGTTAAAATCAGTAATCTGGAGATTCGAAAAACAATTAGTTCTAATGAGGTAGATGTACGTATACGCTGGTGTTTTGCACAGCGACTTTCATAACCACAATTGAGAACCGACGTCACTGTTACGTACCTGTGTATTTGTTGTAAATACTTGGATTATCCCCGAGGAACGCAGGATGCGACTTCCTTTAGCCACTCTAACTCCGGAAATCCAATTTCTTATTTATATGTTGGACCATTAAATTAGATGACTGACGCGAATACATTAAAAAGCAGATTCCAAAAGTAAGATTAAGAGTAAAATAAGTTTAAAAAAAGGAACGAACATTGGATTCCTCTGAAAACTCTTTACAAAATGTAATATTGCGATAATAAGTATTCCTGCCGTTCTTTCCACAGAATACTGGTGTGGCCAGTGGTTGATTTACCTTGAATTACAAACTACTGTGCTGCCTGTCTTGTCCTGGCAACACTGATCCCCCAAAATGTCTAATATCTCTGTACCTCAAGCAGCTGCTGAATTCACAGCGACAGCCTTCCTACTTATTGTTTAGTAATTTTTATTCTTTATTTTAAACACTGTGTATTCTTAACCCGTACTATCAGAATGCGCGTGCGGTTATGAGACTCACAGAAGAATGTTGGCATGAAGAGTCGTGATGTGTAGGTCAGTGAAATTCACACATAAATTAATCACAAAAGAAGCAAGCAGGAACAGGGATCCTTAAATCAGAACACTGCTTTCATATGAGAGGAAAGAATATGGGACAATAGGCGACAGTAGAAATAGTTTTGCAATCTACTGAAATATGTTCATGGAAAATAAAGATGCCACAAGAATCATACGGCAAAGCAACATCTGAAGATAAATTCAACAGAATTAAATGGCCAGACTATATCAACTCACCATCAATTAGCTTTCCTGTAGCTTTCCGGGCAGACTTTGACCACAGCTTCCTTGCTTTTCGTGACCGCCTTGGACTCTTCCAGTTCCTGCAGTGACCTTGATATCTAGATGAAATAAAAAGCTACATCAATATCCCTAATACTGACTTTTCCTGAGCACTATCTTGTAATAAAAGTTAACTGAACGATAATATGGGGAAAAAAGTCACTAAAAGTCTTTGAAACTTTGTAGGAACATGTCCTATATTCTTTAACTGTAAGTAGATCTCCCAACTTGGAAAAGGTGTTACAGTTTGGGCTTCCGTTTAATCTGTCCGATGCTAACCTGCAGTAAGTGGTGTTCAAATGCAGTATTATCCTGTCCCATGTACTCACACTGCTACGGCGTCTTCACTTCCTTCGCCGTCAGAGTCGGTCATTTCGATGTCCACCCATTCGTCGCTGGTCTCGCTCCGTGGTTGACGAGAGTTCACACACGTCAGCTGATACGACAGTACCTCGTGGGGGCCGTCTTCAGCTGAAACTACAAAGCAAATAAATCTGTATACCATTACCATACCCTAATGGCTAGTTTGTTTCACTCCATGCAGCAAACAGTTTCTTGAAACACCGTTTAACTGGAGTCGCTACTTGATGCGATCTGGTACGTTCAAGATTTAGATCCGAGTAATGAAGCTCACATCTCACATCGTTATATATATATATATATATATATATATATATATATATATATATATTACTATGCCTGTTAACACACACGATTAGTATCTAGAAGGTGCAGTACATTAGTATGTTCAGTGTGTACATGCGGGTGTTTCCCCTTACAAGGGTGGGTACGTGAGGCAATCCAACACCCTTACGCACATTGGTGAAAGTGGACATTACGACAACAACAACACACGGACTGGAACGAAAGCTGTCTCTGTTTTCAATGAGAAATGCTGCCAACTTTTTATTAAAGTTCTGAAGGTGGTTCCAGAACATTAAGTTGTGTTAGAAATTATTTTATATAGAGGAAGTTGAGATTACAGAATAATCAAAGCACAATTTTGATGAGATAATGAAGTAGCCGATTACGAAATGTACACAAAGACATTAGGAAATTGATCGAGTTAAATAATAACCTAAAACTTACTACTACTACGGGCATTAGCGTAGCTTCCAGACGCAGATCAAAATATCCCGCCTCCGAATCAGCGTAGCTCGGAATGAATCTCAAATATGTCTGTATACGGTGTAGAGAGGATATTTTTAACCAGACATAACATTTTATTGGTACGCATGGTTCAGCTTCACGACCCGGCCGCTTTGCGTCCGCGGAAAGAGCCCACATTCCCCTTGGATACTTGGCTGGGTAGGTCTAAGAGGTCTGGACATAGTAACGGAGAGAAAAATCCTGACATACCTGCAACCGACCAACCCACAGCTTCGGTTCCAAGCCCATCCAAATACACAGACAAGCATTAGTTTGATAGTTATTCACTCTGTACAAAACCACTATCTTACCTGTTGAAGCTTGCGACACTGATGCAGAATCAAACCTACAGCCTCCAACACCATACAAACTGTTGCTTTGATCGCAGAAGCTATGGTTTCCGCTTCCGATACTACTGGAAGCCGATGAAGGTCCGCCCATTCTCATGGTACCGCCGTCAATGGTCGTCCTTCCATCAGATGTCATGGATCTGTCCCCCCCGGAATAGATGGACTCGTAGCAATTGCTAATAGACGCGACGTCTTCTGATACCTTTAGCGTCGTCACTGATTTTACGTCGTCGTATATGTTGGACTCCGCGTCCTCGTGAGGGTTGTCCTCCCCGATGCACTGATAACCCTCGCCCTCACAGTCGTCATAGTTCTGGTCCAGTGAAGGCTCCACGGACCCGCGACAGTAGTCGTATCCACTGTCAGTTCCATTGTCGTCGGCGCAGTTACTGCAAGAAACTTTCATTATTAATTCCATGAAATAAAGTCCTTTTTAAGAAGGTAACAGTCGCCCCACAACAGCTCACCACTAGTCGCTATCCTAAGCCAGTTGAAACCCCACATTTTCAAAACTTATTTTTTAAGATCCAATTTAATATTGCCCTCTCATCTTCGCCAAGGTCTCCAAACAACCCCCCACTTAAGATTTCCTGACTAATGTTTTGTATGCATTTCTCCGCCCTTCTCATCCCCTCTTAATTGATCAAGCTATTAACAGACTGTTCCTCATAATGTATTTTTCTCCACTTTTTGTCACGTCCCTTCTGTTACGTCACAATTTCTCCTCATCATTTTGTTCTTAAACAGCCTCAATATATGTTATTATTCTCTTAACGTGAGGGACCACGTTTTCACAACCACAAAAGACAACAGATAAAAAAAGTGCTGCAATGTTTACTTTTTCAGACAACCGACTGGAAGGCAAAAGACTGTGAAGTGAGTAGCAGCAAGGAATCCATGGATTTAATCTGCTCTTTTCGGGAATGTGATTTTGATTTACTACTGTCCCTCTTAAAACATTTTAACTTTGTAATATTTACTAATAATTTATTACCACCTATATATATATATATTTATTTATTTTTATTTTTAAGCCCCAAACACATGATGCCGAAATAAATACGAATAAAGACATCCCCAGTCTATTTAGCTGAAAAACAAATCACTGTGTTGTCCCGTAAGAACGGCCAAAAATGTCATCAATACTAACCAACCAAGTGACCGTAAAATTGGTTTGATGAAATGTAGTGTAAGTGCGACCGAATTTCTTTGAAACCGGTCAGGTGGTATGATCGCTGTTAATTACAGGCAGACGACCATGAAATAAATAGGTGGTTTCCGAAACCCCCCCCCCCCCTCACGTCACAGGCAGGCGACATTGCCTGTTACAACTTTTCTTTTGAATATGTCGACAACTGAACAACTCACCTGACCGCCGAAACTGCAGGTATCCTTGGAGACTGTTTCTCTTCAGTGGCGGGAGAGCCTACGTCATCGTACATGTCATCATCTTGTGGGTGAACCACGGAATAGGGGTGCATCAAAGAAACTCCATCAGAATAAACAGTGGACGGTGGGTACACATCATCGTATGTTTCTTCAATACTGCAATTTGTTACAGGTGCAGGAACTTCCGGATTTGTTGGTTCATAATTATCGGTTAATGGCACAGACACTGATGTAGACTGGTCGTCCTGTGTTCGAACTTTGTTGCTTGGCGGTGATACCCCCCACAGGAACGATCTATTCGGTGTCATTAATTCTCTGTCAGTTTCTTGGAAGTTTTCTCTTTCTAGGGTTGAGGCAATCTTGTTTATCGAATATTCTGAACCTGTCGGTGCTTTATGTGGAAATGCAAGTTTATCGTAGTGAACGCAAGTATTTTCGGTCACAGATCCATTGCTTGTTGTCCTATATATACTGTCCTGTTTACACGTCACCTTCGCATATTTGAAATCGTTTGTGTCACTTTTAAAAAAAGGCACGCTTTTGTAAATTTGTTTTTTAGTCACGTTTTTGACTGGCACTACGGGTTTGATTTTCTCTTCTTTTTTCTTCATTTCGTCATGTCCTGAACCTCCCCCAACACCAACCACGGTAACATTTTTATCACTTTTACACCGAGCATTAAAGCCTTCTACGTAATCATTCTTCACACAAACCTTTTCTTCATCTTCACAACTACCCCGTGACAATTTCGTTGCTGACTTCTGGCAGTCGTTGGTTCGGGTGTTGCAGCTATCTTCAACCTGTTTGGTAGTTTGGTCCTCATTGCACACGTCTTCACAATCTAAAGTCACACGCACTAGAGTGGCATCTCGTTTAAATATAACTCTAGGATATTTTGGTTCTTTCTTGGCTTCAGAACTCTCAAGCGACTGCTTCAATCCACACGTGACAGAGTTCCCTACATTCCTTCTGTTCCCTCCTAAAGCAACTGCATTGATTTTAGCTGGACGAGTTGTCGTAGCGTTCTTTTCGAAAATCTGAATTGCAGCTTTAACACTTCCACTTTTTGTTCCGACAGCAGACGATCGACATGACATATTGCTCCTTCGTTTGCAGTCCTTCGTAATACTACTATTGGAAGACTTTTGACTGTTGTCTGGTTCCAAGAGAGGCTGTTTGGTTGATGAGTGCTTTCGAAGTGCAACGCCCAAAAAAACACTCTTTGTATTACCCCCGGTGCTCGATAAACAGCCCTCTCGTTTGGAATTACTACTGTTTCGTCTGGATACGAACGCCCTTTCTGTTTGTGGTTGCTTCTTATTCGAAGGAGTTATCGAACCTGCTGGAAACTGAGGGAGCATCCTAGAGTCATTTTGAATAATCTCTACGCTCTTTTCTTCTTTGTTTTCATGAATTATCGCGTTGAACTTGGAAGCGAGAACAGCGACTTTGCTAGGAATCTTCGAGTCCGTAAGCGATCCCTTACTCAAGGCTGAAGAACGCCTAGATGTCGCTGATGATATATACGAAGACGATAATCTCCCGTTGTTAGAACTGCTGCGAACTTTAAAACTGACTTTCCGTGGAGGGTTTTCTCTTGTATTCGAATTGCTCCTTCTAACCTCTACCTTGCTTCTATGTTCCTTCACCTCCGGTGCAGATTTTATGGAATATTTTTCGTCTGCGTAATTATTTATCACAGAGTTGCCAATCGTACATACCTTCTTCGTAGAATCTGTGGTCTCTAGATTACCTTCAATGCGTATCCTCAGTTCATCAACTCTACGAATTGTAGGGATTTTAGGAAAAACATGTCTAATAATATCGCCAGTCACTTGGTTCCTACCAGTGTTACCTTCAGACTGCTTTGGTGGAAACTCTTCATTCTGTAGCCCTGAATCATTCCTTTCTTTATGGATGGCTGAACGCGATAACATATCAGTAGGATACGTGGATGTGTTATCTGAATAATCAGGCAAAGGTTTTTTTGAGGCTACTGAGTTCGCGCCATCTGCAGAAGATTCGATAGAAGGCTGGTCCTCACTTCCTGGACTTGTAAACAAAATTTTCATTTCTCTCTTACCTGCACCGCTCGACTCCACACTGCTTTTTTCATTACCCGACGTCATCTTCAAAGACAAGTCGCTGTCGTTAATTCGAAATTCAATAAACCGCCTTAGGAAGCTTGAGTTTCCGCAGATACTTTGTTCTTCTTCTTGACAAGATTTAGAATGCTCTTTATCCAACGCAAGGCTCTTGTCACTGTTGAAACTATTCGCAGAAACGCCTATACTACAGTCCACAGCTGGCCAGTTATGGGGGGATGTTGCGGTCAATGCCATAAATTGGGCATCAGTGGAGACTGAACTAGTGATATGTTTCGCGCCCTTCAACACCATCAGGATCTCGTCTCCATCCTCTGTCGCGAGCTTCTTCGCCCTCATCTTGCGAACCAACGGCAGAGGGTGACACAGTTGCAGCCATCCACTTCTCTTACAGAGACGTTACCGCAGGAAACTATACAGGCGGATGATTAAGCCATTCTGCAAGAAGAACGAATAAATACTACATACATACAGCAGATAAATCTTAAGCTAAAACGCAGTGTCGATTGCAACACGTGCTTTTTGCTCTGGGAGTGCACTCACTCTGTCCTCAAAAGGGATTGTAAAGCAGTGTCAAACAAAGTAAAATTAAATACCTGTTTTAAATTATGGATAGTTAGAACTTAAATTAAAATTATCGTTTGACATTACTGGAGGTACTAGAAGGTTGCAGGACAACAAAACACATATTTCTATTTTGTTTCTCAAATCAATCATCTTCACTGGGAGACAGTATTGCATTTCCAGTGAGCCAAATTTACCTCAGTGCACTGATAATAATTACGCTAACTGAAACAGTTCTTTACAGGGCATATACATAGTTTGGAGATTACTGTAACCATAAAAACATTCGAGATATTGACCCCAACCCGGACAAACCACCTTTCACCCACTAGCCCCACAGTCGTTTACCAGCCCCAATCCTGTGTAGTTCAGTTTCTTCATTCACTTACTACGAGTGGGATATTACTTCTTGGGTGAGTTTACATGTTTGTTTTTATTTTTATTATTTATTATTTTTATTATATTTACTATTTTACCAATTACTTTTACCAATTATTTTGTTTTCTATATTCTATATTCTCTATTTTCAATTGTCATTAATGGAATTAAAACTTTACTTCACAGTCACAAAATGATGCCAACACAAAATACAAAATATAAACCTAGTAAGGACTAATGATAGTGCAACAAAACAAGAAACGGTAAAGAACATGAACACCATCAAGAATGAAGACAGTGAAATATGAATAACGTTAAAAATCAGTAAAATGGTGATAGGTTTATACTGCATACACCCGTCGATGGCTGAATGTAGCCGAAACTAGTAGTGTATTTAAATGATGCTTTAAATCTTTTAATATTATTTTATTATTATAATTGTGAGTGACTGTAATTTTTAATATATATTTTAATATACGGATCACAATATGACGCAATTACAATATTTTATTCGAGATAATGTTAGATGAAACTTGGCAAAAATCGAACGCTAGATAAGACTGAAATTTCCAGATAAATTGATCAGTTTTAGAGTAGCATTACTGACACAAGTAAATG